TTTTTTTTTCTTTTGTAAAATCGTCATATTTTTACAAACTTAGGAAATAACGAAAATAGCATAATAAACTAAGATATCGTAATAAATATGGAAATATTATAATCATAAAATTATATACATTGGCCCATAACTTTGGGCTTTAGCCATGTGCTAAAAGGTTTAGATTAAGTTGGCTTTGGTAAAAGAATAATCAATCGTTCAAGGTGTAGGTAAGACAGAAATAGAAGACTATGATATCACGTCCATAAAACATCTTTAATCGATTCCATAGAATAGATAGTTGAACTAAAGGAAGCATTACAAATTAAGAAGAAAATTCTAGAAACATACATAACTAATAAAACCATAATGCCGAGATAAAAGTTTGATGAATGATTATCCTAAAAGATAACTAAAAAATAATTATCATTATAACATATAATAGATGCTCAATAGTTGGCATATGGAAAAATCAAGTGCTTGGTGCAGTTTCAAACATGCACATGATTCACAAAGGCCTTTTCATCGAGAAGAAACCTATACAAATCACGCAAAACATAGGAAGAGGTCCACTCACCCGCTGCATGAAACTCATCAATATAATGGTCATCATCTTCGGAAAGAATTCCTATAGCATAGCAAGCACCTTTAAATGTTGAATATCGAACATTGTTCACAGTCCTTAGATCCTCAAAACAACATGCTCCTCTCCTCACCTTCAACAAAAGTCTTAAATAGTAAAGATCACCAGATGTTAGGGGACAACTCTCCAACAGAAACACTCGTGAAATTCGAGATAAACGCCGTCTCCAACATGTTCGCTCAATATCCCAAGCCCACTCTGAAGCAAATTGTGGATACGTCAACTCCCGTGCTTCAGGATGAAGACGATTACATTCCATCCAAGCTTCCAATTTGCTCTTTTTGTCAGAGCTAGACGTTCCATCATCTTCCGATGATACACACGGCGGAGATGGAAGGTGAACAGGTAGGAATCCAACACCTATAGAGTTTAAGCATAAATATTTCAATATTTTGGATAATAATCAAAACATATAAACTTATGCTAAGTTATTGCTATGTGGTTTTGGTGTTATCAAACACATCATTATAATGAATAATAATCAAAACACATTACCTCTTAGAGACATATTCCAGTAAGTGTATATAACGTAACACCGAAAAAGGGAGTCCTGAAAATATTTTTAAAATATGTATGCAAACATTATGAGAAACAAAACTACATATATCTAATACTAAAATAGACAAAACTAAAGCATATAATACTAAAGTACACAATACGAAAGCACTCTAAAAGAGACATCTTACAGTCAAAGAAATACGAATATAAAAAAATATTGAAACCCCAAAGCGTAAGAATTATGATACAAATTAAGATAATGACAAGATGATGATCTTCTTAACTTAACATGGATTTATTATAAACCAAACGATAGTAAATCAAACAGGGTTAATAAAAAACGTATAGAATGCGTTTAAAAACAATTACACGAAACCTAGAATCTGGATATAAGGAAGAATGCGTTTACAACTATAATATCCTCTTCAAAAGAACAGAGTCAAAAGACTACAATATAAAAACAGCAACAACATAAAAACACACAAAAATAATAGATAATGAAAACGACGCAAAGAATGAAGGAATTGCATATTCGAAAGTTTAACCTAGTTTTTTTTTCCTCAAGCAATATAAAAGAACAAATATAGGGGACGCATTTATATAGTTTTTCAATAAAAGGGTTTCCACTGCTAGGGTTTCAGTTAGACTGAATAATTGTTTTCTTATTTTGGTGAAAGTTCCATTTTTTTATATACGTAAATTAAACATTTTTTAAAACTTATTTCCGGATTGATCTATTTAATTACCTTAAAACAATATGAACAGTCTATTAGCATTTCAAGGATCATCTAGAATATCAATTACTTTGTATTAAAAATATCAATTACTTTGTAAGCACACAAAGCATCTTTGCAGTTCTATTGCTATGTGAATGAGACAAGTCGTTTCATCTTTCAAAAAAATAATTGTAAACAATACTTGTATGGATAATGGTGTGAATATGTAGACCAATATTCATGAATATATAGAACGAATATGATGAGCACGGGATCCACATTACATTAAAAATATTCGATAGTACACAAAAACACATATATAAAAAACTCAAAATATGATAATAATCTAATTCATATTATATAGCCAAAACAGAGAAGAACATTCACAAGAAAATAATAGCGAATATAAGGTCGTGACGAATAACATGAAAGGCAAATCAAAACATATAAAAAACTAACGAATCCATAACACCAAATAAAAGGTTCTGTTGAATATATTAAAAAGGTATCTAAAACATTATCAGAAACAGAACATATAATGGATATTCAAGAATCGGCAGAGGGAAAGATCAAGTGCTTGACGCAGTTCCAAACATGCGCAGGATTCGCTAATGCCTTTTCCCTGAGAAGAATCCTAAACAACATACGCAAAGCATGCGAAGAGGACCATTTACTCGCTTCATAAAATCCAGCAATAAACTCATCATCGTCTTCGGATACCAATCCTATAGCATAGCAAGCATCTTTGAATGTTGAATATTGAACACCGTTGACGGTCCTAAGATCAGAAAAACAAAACGCTCCTCTTCTCACCTTCAACAAAAGTCTTAAGTAATAAAGTTCACCAGATGACAATGGACAACACTGCAAGAGAAAGACTTGAGAAGTTTGAGATAAACGGCGCCTTCATTTTGATTGTTTACGATCCCAAACCCATTCCAAAGGGAATTGAGGATACGTCAATTCCCTTGCTTCAGGATGAAGACGATTACATTCCATCCAAGCTTCCAGTTTACTCTTCTTGCCCAAACCAGACGTTTCCTCATCATCTGAGAACGATTGCGACGGTGGAGGGAGGTGCACAGGTAGGAATGGAACCCCTAATCAATGTTAATAATATACATATCAAATATAAACGATTAAACGTTTTAACCAATAAAAATATGAAAGCTTAAGATAGGTGCTGATAAATAACAAATACCAGCCGAAGACATATTCCAAGAAAATTATATACGATGAAACACTGGCTAAGAGTATCCTGAAAAGCACAGAGTCAAGAGATCAGCAAGTACAATATGGCAAATTAAAAAAAAACATACAAAAATTTAAATATAAGAATCAACCAACAAAGAAATACAAGAAACACTATAAGAAGTACATATAAAGAAAAATACATTAAATTATAGCCTAAAAGATCATAATAGAAACGATTAGGTTAAGAGATAAGTAAGTATACCTATAGGAGTTCTGAACGTGTATAAGCAGGCCGTCCTAAAATAACAAAAAACAATAGTGATCGGACAAAAAGCAACATAGTGTTAGTTTTAAGCTAGAGACTGTAAACCAATAAGGGTTATACGAAACAACATAAAAAGAGCGTATAAATACACTTACACGAAACCGATACGATGAATGAAAAGGATGAATGTGTGATTGGGTACACAAATTCAATATCCCTCTCAAGCGGATGAACCTACAATATAAAACCAACAAAACCAAAAGAAAAAGAAAAGCAAACATAAAAAAATTTGTATCAAAAACCAAAACAAAATAATATAAAACATGCGGCTAACAGAACTTACACGAGATAATCGAAGAGGAAGAATCAAATAACACTTCAATATCGTTCTCAAAAGATCAGCGTGCGCTCTTAGATCCAGTATCGTCCTCAAAAGATCTGCCTACAATAGAAAGCAACAACAACATCAAAATTATTCCAAAGAAAAAAGCAAGCAATATATAAACGCAAATCAAATCAAGCAATATTTGACCTAGGGTTTATCTAAAACGTTTTGAAAGAATGAACGTATGAGACTTATTTATATAGGTGTTTAAGATTAGGGTTTAGGTCGGTAGATTTCGTTTAGATCACGTAAAATATGGGCCGTGAATATTTGTATGGGCTTACGATATTGATTTCCGCGAGTTTCTTTAAAAAAATTTGGTTAATATATTCAAAATTAATTATTCTCATTAAGGGGTAAGAGGTAATTAACCAGCTGAAACTCAATGAGAGGCCTCCGTTGCTTATTCTGAACCCGATTTTAATAGTATAGATCGTAATGTTTTTGGCTAATTATTTAATATAAAAACGTTTTTGGCTAATTATTTTATAAATTTTGATTATATATAATTTCTAAACTGGTTTAATTTTATAGCGAAATTAAACACTAAACCATAATAATTTATATCAGTTTGTTTTAAGTTATTTTTGACACATCAGCAGATAATTATCAATAAAAAAATGACACATAATCGGTATATATGATAAAAATGTCTTTTTGCAGCCGAAACTCATTATAGAACTGACAAGTAAGCGAGAGACTCTGTAACTCGCTTCTGAACGCGACACGTAAGCAAATCACTATACGAATGAGTATATATTAAATATTTAAATGATCGGTCCAGCACGAATTTAAATTTAGTGTTAATAGAAACTATAAAGACAATTTGAAAATGGCAAATTATTATTGTTTTCCTATTAACTAAATACATATTGGAACGAAACCTTATTAACAAGAAAGATTACCAATAGCCTCGGTTCATAAAAGGAAACAAATTAATTAGTATAACTATAGTCTACAGATAAGGGATACGGTTTCCTTTTTTTAATTATTCTTTTTGTTTTCCTTATTTATCATATGTCAACATAATTGTTAAATAAATTGAAAGTTCGAATTAGTCAAGTAACCATATATAAAAAGGAAGCCGAAAGAAAATTGGAAAAGTAGTTGGAAATTTTTATATTCATCATAAACCGGGGTGTGTATAAGGGAAATTTGGTAAACATATGAAATTGACTTTAGCGAATATAGAGCATTTAAGTTTGAGAGATTATGAGTAATAGCATAGTATATATAATTAAGATGAAAAAACGCTACTAAAAGAATTAGGAAGAATTGTTTGCAGGCAGAGCAGGGGCATTCGTGCATTGATTGTAAACGATGGAGGCAGAGAAGCGAATGATTTCTCCATCCTCACAAAGAAAGAGAAAGAGAAGAAGAATAAGAAGAATACTAAGAAAAAGAAAGAGACGAAACGAGAAGCGAGTGATTGCTCCATCATCACTACCAAACGACGTCATCGAGGAAATCTTCTTGCGACTTCCAGTGAAAGCCCTAATCCGCCTCAAGTCTCTCTCAAAACATTGGAGATGGACGATCGAGTCTCGCTCTTTCGAAGAGAGACAGTTGAAGATCGCGCAGAGATCACACGTCGTAAATCCCAAGGTCATGGTCATAACCGAAGAAGATCCCTTGGAAACGATTCCTGGGAGTCCTCGTCCCGACACAGACATTGGTTTTAGAACGCTCTGCTTAGAATCGGCTTCTCATCTATCCTTTACTCTTCTCAATTTTCCCCAAGGGGTTTTCCACTATATCTACGTTTCTGAAAGCTGTGATGGCCTTTTCTGTATCCATTCCCCAAAATCGCACTCGGTATATGTAGTTAATCCGGCTACACAGTGGCTCCGACAACTTCCTCCCGCTAGGTTTCAGATTCTAATGCACAAGTTTAACCCCACTCTAGAAGACTGGAGAGACATGGAATCAGTCTTTCAGCTAGCATTCGTGAAGGCCGCTGATTACAAATTAGTGTGGCTGTATAATTCTGATAAGTACAATGCTGATGCCTCGAGTCCAAACGAGGGAGTAACCAAGTGCGAGGTTTTTTGCTTTAGGGCAAACGCTTGGAGGTCCTTGGCTTGCACTCCAAGTTATCGTATATTTCATAATCAGAAGCCAGCATATGTAAACGGGTCGGTTTATTGGCTCACGGAGCCATGTAATGCAAGAATTGAAGTAGTGGCTTTTGATATTCATACCGAAATATTCCGGTTGCTGCCTAAGATTATTCCGGCTATTGCTGGTTCAGATCCTCAACATATTGACATGTGCGCTCTGGATAATCGTCTATGCATATCGAAAAAGGACTATGTTAGGATGGTCCAAGATATTTGGCGGTTGAAAACATCAGAAGACACGTGGGAGAATATCTTGACTATAGATTTGATTTCTTGTTCTTCTTCTGGGGCTGAGGTTCTCAATAGATTTGATTGGTGCGTCCAAGGTTTGGTTGAGCCATTGACACCCGTGGCAGTATGCAAGAACAATAAGATTCTGCTCTCACATTGCCGTTCCCGAGGTTTGGTAAAATATGATCCCTTTGCAAAGTCTCTAGATTTCTTTTTCGGACATCCTTGGTCTAGGAGAAAAATTACGTATTTTCCAAGTTTGATTTCTCGTATCTAAAACTTTATTTACATACGACCTTTGATGTGCTTGGAAGCGTGAAAGAAACAAAGCATTTCTTCTGTTTGGTTTTTCGTTTTTTCCCATCTAATATTTGATTTTAAATGATTAATCATGCCCTGCATTTAAATGGGGTTCTCAAAAGTCTATCTATCGTCCAAGTCTGAGAAGTCTAACCAAATTACAAGAAAATTAAGAAACTATATATACTGTATGTAGCTATGGATTTTCCTTCTTGTGCTTGGTTCTATATATAAAAAGATTCAATTCAAAACACTCTCTGGAAGTGGTAGTTCCAACTTCCTAGAGGGAGACTTCACCTTGCTAATGGGAGCAAGGCCTTATCTCCACTAGATTTTTCAGAAACACGTTGTAATGTAAACCTGGAATTCAGAAGGAGAATAGTGAATACTAGTGCATGTGGACTAGGAGGTCAAGGACTCTTGATCAACTTATTAAGCAGTGAGCTCACAACTAACTAATTGTTCCCTTCCCAACAAAAGTAAAACCCGACACATGACACATGAGAGGGGCTCTGTCTTTGCAATCAACTAGTGACCCATATATGCATATATGTCCAGTTCAAGACACACCGGGGTGATAAACAGAGAGATTTCTCAGTTGTTTGGTAATAATAAACAAACCACATCTAAACCGCCGGTTCTAACTTCACAATATATTCAACAATCATGACAAATCCAATAAGCACGACTCACCAAATAATCCGCAAGAAAACAGTATCGTGTCAAAAATTGTATTTTTTGGCGATGGAATTGGAGTAGCAGAACCGACACACCAAACCACCGTATCTCACTTCACCAAATATCATACCAGAATAGTGGGGAAAAAATAAAAAAAAGTAGACCCTTGTTAACCGAAGATACTATACATGGAAAAGGGATATAAAAATGCTAAAAACAGAGATCATTGTCTCTTGGAAGCTAACTCTCTATTTTAGAAATCATTAAAGAAAATGGTTAATTTCTCATAGGATGAGTCCAACTCTTTTCCTTTTATTAATTTAAAAAACGGTGATGAGAGGATACATGAGCAGATGACATCAACAACGAGCAAATCAAACATTGATCATAGACAAGATCAAAGTTTCAAACTTGACATTGATAGATAAGATCTTATAATGCTGAACCTACACAGAATCTCACGAATCACCTCCTTCATCAAGAAAGGGATCTGGATCGTAACATCACGGAAAAAGTAGTAGATTCAGCAACTAATTAGACAAGCCCTAGATTTACGTACCCAAGGCAAAGAGACATTGAAAATTTCCCCTGATTTTCACCAACAAGAAAGAATGTGCTCTGGAGCAAAAACCCTAATTTGGACTCAACTCAAATCCCCCAAAAATGTGACGGTAACTTTTGACAGGCCAATGTCGGCGATGAGAATCTTGTCCGTCGTAGTCCATCGACATAGTTATTTTTTTTTCAGGTAATCACTTTCTTTTTTTTTTATTCATCTCCAGAATCATCGTATATGTTGAGTTTCTTAGTAATTTCTTAGAAGCACTTTTTCTTTCCTTTTGTTAACTGATTAGAAGCAATTTTTGTCTCATCTCGAATTTCTAAATGAATTATAGTAGTGTTGCTAGAAACGAAGGAGAGACCAAACAGAAAGTTTAATCGGTAAAACGAAACTGAGAGTAATTTTAAAGCTTATAAGAAGATCTTTAAATATGCATCCACTATAATCTTTGTTACAATCCATAAAAGTTTAATATAAACCTTTAGATACAATCCATAAAAGCTTAATATAAACCTTTAATTAGATACAATCCATAAAAGCTTAATATAAACCTTTAGATACAATCCATAAAAGCAAACGTAATGAAATATGGAGCAGCTTTTAGGCGAACCATTTTTTTTTTGGCTCCTCCTTTTGCAAGTTTTCCAAACGAATTAAACTATCATTGTAACATCCCGACTTTTAGTTAACCAAATATCGGATGTTACCAGTTCCTAATTCCGGTTTTATTAAATTAAACCATTTCTATTTCTTTTTCATTTTATTTCTTTTTTATTTGGGTTTTTCCTAATTTATTCTAAGAGTCCATTAAGCCCAATCTATCTATTTAACCTCCATATAAATACATAATTAAATCCTTAAAACCCTCATTAAACTCCTAATCAACCCTAGCCATCTTTTTCCTCTCTCTTCCTCTCTCCCTCTGCGTTTTCTTCTTCTTCCTTCTCTCTCTTGGCCGTGTCTTTCTCTCTCCTTGCCGCGGCCGCCATCCTCCAAGTCTCTCCCTCTCCGCCGAAGTTTCCTTGCCCAGCCGTGATGTCTGCGTCGCCTCCTTCTTCTTTGGGTGAGATGGGATCTGATTCTGATGGATCTCCTCTTAGATCTCCTTCTCCTCTGCCTTCTCCTCCAGTTTCTCAGCCTTCTAAGCCAAGGTGAGGGCCCTGTGGCTTTATCCTCTCTTACATATGCATGGTTGTCTTTTAAGTGGTCTTTTCTTAGATCAGGCTTAGATCTGCTTGTTAGGGCTGTTAGAATTGTTTAGGACCTGGATCTGTGTTGCCTGTTTGTTGATGATTGCTGGTTGCTGGTGGAATGAGATAATTAACCTGAACTTGGATCTATAGTTATTGGACTTTAAAATATTGATTGTGTGATGTTAACCTGATTAATGTTCCTTTTTGTTACAATTGGTATCACCGAAAGTGCATCTTAATAATGGAAGGACCTTTAAGAAATGGATGATTCTTTGAAATGGATGATTGTGCATATAGATCTCTGATAGGACCCCTGGCTCCTGGAGGCGGGAGTCAGTGTTGTTTGTTGGCTATCGCTGTCGTGTGAGGGACGGCTAGAGCCATCGCTGGAGTGGATTAGCGATCCACTGTTTATTGAGCCGTCCAAAGGGACCGCTGGGTACAGCTTTCTGGGTGACCGCTTTGAGCAGCCGTCTGAGTGACCGTTAGCTCATAGCCTGTCTTGGTGATTGCTGGGATCAGTCTGTGTGACTGGCAGAGTGAACCTGACTAATGGGTATGGTAATAGGCCAGCCATTGGATGGGATTATTCTGGTTGCCTTTCCGGGTGAGGCATGGGGGTCCATGTGGCAGCCCATTGTAACTGCCAAGTCCAGGAACCCACTGCTTGTGTAGTTGTTTGTAGGGTTACCCTTGAATGCTGCGTGATTGATTGCTATGAATGAATTGTCTATATATAAATAAGTAAATTTATCTATATATGTGTTGCTTGGGCTTGCTTTAGGATTAGATCTCTTAAAACCAATTTATGCTAGTTTGATGATGTTGTGGGCCTCCTTAAAGACCACCCTCACTGAGTAATCCCAATTACTCACCCCTCCTCTCCCCTTGTCTTTCAGGTTTAGTAGAGAGATCAGTCTAAGTCTGTGTTGTTGATTGTTACCTGGGCGTTTTCCTGGCGATCCTGTGTGCTCACCAAATCGGACATCCTACCGGACGCGGTTTGATGACCGATCTAACATACCCGGTTCCCCGCTCTCTTAGGAGCCTGAGATAGGGATGTTACAATCATCGTATTCACAATAACTTAAAAATAAAGTTTACCTGTGTAACTGTAAACTTCATGTTTTCTTGCGCTTTCCACTTCTTCCACTGCCATTTTTGAGCTTTCTAGCCTCTCTCTGAACATCTGCTTCCGTAATTCCCATTTCCCTAGCTATAGCAGTGATGTTGTCTTCTCCAAGATTTGCAGCACAAAGATAATATCTCGCGATCTGATTATCGTTCCACTTACCATTTTCTGACATTTTTTTGTTTTTGTTTTTGTGTTGTGAAGAGAGAATGAGAATGTGGTGAGAGAAGAAGGAAATGAGTAGCATAAATAAATAAAGGAACAAGCAAGGAAGTTTTTTTTCTTTTGCATTGCGCTTCTATATATCCAAACATAAACAACCCCAAAAAATATTTAAAATAATTGTATTTTTACATTGTATTTTTTATACATTTAAAAATTACATAGTCAGCCCTTACTATACAAATACAATTATCAAACTTACAAAGTTATTTATCAAAAAAAAAAAAAAACTTACAAAAGTTCATACAGTCCTGTATTTCATTTGCATTATTTATTTTTTTCCAGATTTACATAATAAGTTGTATTGGCGGTGAGAAAAAACCCGTTTATGAAATGTAATAATTAATGTGGTCCTAGTATTATTGATACCAATCTATATTACTTTTTCCGTTGATTAATACGAATATAATTTCGTTTATTCAAACTCAAACAGAAGACTTGACACACCACTACACCAGACCATCAGTTGACCGTATATCATACATGTGACTGCGCTATTATCATTATAAGGTTTACCGTGATGACGCACCTCTACCCAAAAGAAGATATGAAACTAACAGACTTCCAAATTTTCCTATTTGATAATGTGTATACGTTTTTTGTTTTTTTTTTTAACTTTTGTTTACCATTTCTGTTCACTTATTTAGGAAATTGCGTAGGAAGAGAAACTGCATACAAAGAACACACAAAAAAAAAAAAAAAAACTGAAATGACCATTACATTCTTAAGAAATAAGAAAAGCAAAAACAAACTTAGTAAATAAAAGGAATATGATCTTATAACACTAGAGGTTTTGGGTTTTATTTTTTTGTTAAAAGGTTTTTGGATTTTATTTACATATATATGATCTTCTTTTCTAAATTTATATTAATTCTTCTTATTTTACCAGTGAGGGTATAAATATAGGAACAAACAAAAAAACAACAGTGGTATCATGCAACTTTCTTGTATACTCCATTTTGATAATAATATTAATGTAAGCACACTGGTTTATTGTGCTATGAAGATCTTGTTTTAGAGAGATATAATACAAGAAAGTTGAATCGGGCAAGGAAGAAAAAAATTGGATCAAATTTCCAAAGCACTTATCCATCTGCCACGTCATCATATCATCATACATAAAATAAGTTGGACAGTGATAGTAATAAATTTGCTAGTTTCCATTCATGATTTTTG